CCTCAGGGAGATGCACTGACACTGTGGCTGCAGCAACAGGCTCAAGCACAGGAGCAGTCGTGAGGGTGGCGCAGGACCGCTGGTGACCCGTACTGCTGAGCGTAAGGCCACTATGGGTTGGAACGGACTCCCATGGCACCGAACAACAAGAAGGTGGGCCCGACCCAAGCCATGGTTATTTCCAATTGCCTCATACGCACGTGACAGTTGGACATTACATAAAGCAGACCAAAGAAGAATTGAGGCTTTTGAACTATGGTGTTGGTGAAGAATATTCAAAGTACCATGGACTGCAAAAGAAACAAGCAAGCCTGTCTTGGAAGAAGTACAGCCAGAATGCTCCTTAGAGGACGTGTTGTCAGGAGAGACCAGGCCCTGGGGAAGGACCATCCTGCTTGGTAAGCAGAGGGGCAGCGAAAAGAGGAAGGTCTTCAAGGAGATGGGCTGACAGAGTGGCTGCAACAATGGGCTCCCACAGACGAACAAGGTGAGCATCCAGGAGCAGGTGGTGCTTCCGTCTGTTGTACATGGGGTCGCTAGGAGTGGGAACTGACGCCAGGGCACCGAGCGCTACCACCAATACCATCCATCACCCGCTGCGGCTCTGACCATGGACATGGCGGCCAATCCCAGGCAAAATGGGAGGAAAATGTAGACCGAAACTCAAATTCCTAAAAAGGTCAGACCCACTGGACCTATAGAGACTAGAGGAACCCCTGCGATGATAGCCCTACAATGCCCTTTGAACTTGGAACTGAAGGACTCACTGATGTGTAAAATAAACAATATCAACTGAGTAATGTATTCTCCGAGCAATCAATGGTCTTTTTACCCAAAAGCACTCAAGAGAAAGGCTCAAGGGACAGACATGTGGTTAATGGAAACAGAATGGAAGTAATAAGAGTGCTGACATGCTGTGGAAGCTGTAACCAATGGCCCGAAAAAATGTGTATTAAAAATTGATAAGCCGGTACCTTATTTGCTATGTAAAATTTCACCTAATACAATGTTTGTTTGTTTAAGTTGTGGATTTAGTACTGGGAGAAAAACGTACATGCAGAAATGTGTACACATCCCATAAACACCTGTGACACATGAAGAAACCTTAAATGTTAGCTTGCCTGACAGAGCACACAGCAGCAAGGCACTACACAGCTGATTCCCAGCAGCGCACACAGCAGGTGCATAGATGTTTGTTAATAATGTTAACTATTTCTGTACAAACACAGAAAAAAACAGCTGTTCAGAAGTTCAGCATTTACACTCCTTCACTTTTACAAACGACCTACAGGAGTATCTGGCTTTGCTAACAGGGGAAGACCGAAGCGTTTCACTAGTACAAAACAGGGTGGAAAGTAAACGTTAACGTTCAGCAATTGTTTAGCAGCAAAAGCTATAGTCTTGGGAATCCACGGGGACAGTTCTACTCTGTCCCGTAGGGCGCTCTGCGTCAGCACCGACGGTGGTGGGTGGGTGGGTGGGTGGGTGAGTCAAGGCACCCTGACCAGCGACGGGCTGGCCTCACCGAGCTCCGTCCTGGGCCTACACTCCGAGTCCAAGCATGTGGCTGCCAACGTTCAACTGTGTCTGTCAACCCTGTATGTTCGTTTTAGGTCTTACGCGCTATTGGGTACAGTTTGATAGGTTATATTTCCATTCTGGGAATGTTCAAACATGCTTCTCATCTTCACTTTACACCATTTCCATTTATCAAGTTGCCATAGAAATGCTCTCCTTTCAGATTAGACAGAGGGGGAAATCAGTACATGAAACAAACAAACAAACCCAAACCCACTGCCATCCAATCTACTCCAATTCATATGGACCCTCCAGAGCAGAGAAGAACTGCCCCAGGGGGCTTCTCAGTCTGTAAACCTTAATGGAAGCAGACTGCCACACTTTCCTTCCATGGAGGAGCTGGTGGGTTAGAACTGCCTACCGTTCAATCAGCAAACAAGCACTTAAACCACTCCACTACCAAGATTCCTACAACAAATACAGTTATAGTTCATTACTTCCATCCCAAATTCTGATAATCTAGGCAAAACCAAACGCTTTGCTGTGATAATCTTGGAATGAGCAAGACTTGTCAAATACTTGTATCAGATACTGATATGCAAAGCTCACGGTCAGATTTATGTAAACAAGGACAGGCAAAACCAGAGCTGAAATGTCTCAAAACCGCACCTGACAGAACTCATAGGACAAGTTACTGAAACTGCCGTGCAGGAAGAGGCTTTATTATTCTGATTGTAAACAAAGATTCCTGGAGATGCTAAGGTAGCATGCTCCAACTCATACTTTTATTTCAGTAAGGAAGTGACTTGCATCACACAACTCTCAAAGGAGCAGATGCAAAATCTGCTCACTTTCCCCCCCAAAAAAGGTCTCTTTCCCTCTAAACTCATAAACCCAATGAAAGTGTCCAATTCTCAGGATTATTCTTTATTCGGGAATTCTGGTGGCATAATGGTATGCACTGGGCTGCTACCCACAAGGTCAGCAGTTCAAATCCAAACGCAGTTCTGCTGGAGAATGACTCCGAGTCGAAATTGACTTGATGGCAGCTGGGTTGATCACTCACTCTGTCTAGATCCCATCCACCTAAACCCACGATGCAGTTGTTTCATTATTTCCAGACACACATTTATAAATGAAACAGATGCTCTTGTGGGATAGGAGCCCTGGTGATATAGTAGCTTGCACACTGAGCTGCTAAACACAGCAACTCCAAATCACCAGCTGCTCCCGGAGAAGATGAGGCTATCTACTTACATAAAGATCTAAAGTCTCAGAAACCCACAAGGGCAGATCTACTCTTCCCTTTAGGGTCGCCAAGAGTCAGAATTGAGGGGGAATTATTTTGAGGCCTTGTGGGGATGAGGCAGCCAATGATGCAAACAAGTTATTGGGAAGTAACACTGCTTTCAAAGGGTTTTTCTCTATCTTCAACATGACTTGATATTATGAACAATCTTTTTGCCATCTTTTCATTTCACAACTTATGCACAGAGCCAGAAACCCTGGTGTTCTGTGCCAAGGTGACTGCGAGTCATAGGCACCCAATATGTGACCCAGTGGAAGTGCCCCACAGGGTTTGCTATGCTGTAATCTCTCCTGGTACAGAAAACCTGGTGTTTTTTTCCAGGGGAACTGCTGGTGGGTTTTGAACTGCTCGCTCAGTTACGAGCAGGGCACTTAACCACTAGGCCACCAGGGCTCCTTTAAGCAATGCTAGAATTAAATAAGCCTTAAAGACGTGCAGGACTAAGATACAGTATGTGTACTTCTTCACCAAGGTCTCACATTTCCTTTCAACAAGTAGCCCACCAACAGTTACTGTTAAACCCCAACTCCCTAGACATCCCGCCTGCTCACTGTGGCCCCATCTTCATACCAGCCCACACCTACACACACACCATCAGTCTCCACATCTCTCAACATTCCCAGGACAGCCTCTCAACATTCACCTTGAGGCTAAAGAGTCATTCTTCTTCCACAGACACCACCACCCCCCTCCCGGCACAATCCTGACATTCCTCAATCTCCTGTTCCACTTCTCCCACAACGTAGAGCAACAAAAGAAAGAAGTCCCTGTCTCCAACCACGGACGCCTTCACTCCCTATCGCCCGCCCTCTTGATCCCAGGGCTGTCTTTGTTAGACTCGGAAAGTACAAGGTCTAGGGGGGATATCACTCACCTCATGCTATAAGCACCAGCACCGAGTTCCTGGCCGATCCCGGAGAGACTGGCATCAAAGTCCTGCACCAGTCCGGATTCAATCACTTCATCCGCCAGGGGCAGCTTCAGAGCCCAGGCCATCCTGGCTCCTTCCTTGCCCCGAGAGACACCGTTGCTTGTACAAAGGCGGGGGGCGTGATGCTGCCCAACAGCGGAAGGCTGTAAAAAGACCTCCGAGCCCAGTTCTTGGATGCAGTGCCCACCGGCCACCCGCAAGCCCGATAGGCACGACCCGGATCGCTAATCTCCCGAGCCCTTGGCTGCTCGCTCTCCGCCGCCGCTCTCCGAAAACCCTCCCGCCCAGCTCTCCGGGGCGCGAGGCTCCCCTCCCCCAGACTGCCCAAGGGCAGTCCCCGACCCCCGGACTCCCGCCCTGAAGCTGCCTGTCCCCGAGCTCGAAGATGGACCGACAGCCGGCGACCGACGGCACTAGTCTGGCGCGCTCACACCGCGGCCGCACCTTTCCTCCGCCCCCTTCTGCAGGAAGCCCCCGCCCTCCTGCGACCCCCTCTCCCGTTCCCCTCCAGACCTCGCTTCCGGTCAGTCCCAATATCACTTCCGGTCACCCCGGCTACCCCGTACGGCCCTTAGACCCAAATCTAGGTTTCCTCCGAGGCGACTGCGCGCCCACGGCTGCAGCCCACCGCCTGGCAGCATGGAAGGGAAAGTCCAGCCCCAGCCTGGAACCCGGCCTCGCCAGGCCCCTCCGCCGCCCCAGCGCCAACCAATCATGGCGCCCTCTTCCCTTGCGGGCCTGTCGAAGGTGACGTGGCCCTGATGCTCACCAATGGGAAAGACACTTCGCAGGGCTCCGACGTGTTGATTGGCTAGCTACACTTGGGCTCCCGCCCTCTGGGGGGCGGGCCCGGCCGTTCTGGGGCGGGGCCCGCGCGTGTCCAGTGAGCCTTGGCTTAAACGCGCCTCGTGTCTTCAGAGTGCTTGGCGTCGGCGTAAACGTACTTACTGGCCACGCTCAGGCTGTGGGCAGCCCTGCGGAACCGACTCCCATCTCGGGCGGCCTCTTGACGGCTTCCAGAACTTGCCCTAGTTGTGCTGCATCGCTCATTCCTAGTTGTCCGCCTAGCTGATCTTTCTGGAAGTCAAGACCCAGTTTAAGGCCCACTTATTCATTTTTTTCCCGCCATTCCCTCTCCTGCACGTGAAGAACAGGAAGGCATGAGCTAGTTGGAAGCGTTTTCAGACTGGAGCTGAGGTGGAAGTAGGCATTGGAAAATTCCGCAGATCAGGATTGGGGCTGGCGACTTCCATTTGCTAGTTTGGTGGCCTCCGCTAGTTTTAGTTGGTGGAGATTTTAGTTTTCTCGTTTGCAAAGTAGGGATAACCATACCTGCCCCATCCCTCATCATTTTGGGCTGTTTATTGAGCATCAACTCTATACCAGTAACTTTATTACATTATCATTAATCCCGAGGACAATTTTGCAATAATAATTTTAGAATTGATGAAGAGTAAGATAAGTAGCCTGGCAGAAGCATCCCCATTCAGAGGCCACAGGGGTGGTGATCTGGTTAGGCCAGGCGCCACCACAGAAGTATCCCCTCCATTTAGATCAGCGGTTCTCAACCTTTAGATCTCGACCCCTTTGGGGGTGGTCAAACAACTCTTTCACAGGGGTCGCCTGATTCATAACAGTAGCAACATTACAGTTATGAAGTAGCAACAAAAATAATTTTGTGGTTGGGGGGTGGTCACCACAACATGAGGAACTGTATTAAAGGGTCGAGGCATTAGGAACCACTGATTTAGATGAACAAGGGTGCCTGAAGCTTCAGAGCATGATGGTGTAATGGCCCCCTGGAGAAATGTCCGTGCAGATAATTTCCTCATGATCATTGAAAATCCTGCCTTCCAACTGACATCCCCTTACAGAAGAGTCTCAGGGAGGAGATGAGCCAGTCAGGGTGCAGTGTACCAACGGTGAGACATACAACTTTCCTATAGTTCTTAAATGCTTCCTTCCCCCCACCCCAACCCCCAACT